CCCTGATTTCACCAAGGAGTTTATCCTGCAGACGGATGCATCGGAAGTAGGGTTGGGGGCCGTTCTATCACAGATGGTCGGGGAGGAGGAACACCCAATTCTATACCTCAGTCGGAAACTCCTTCCAAGGGAACAAAAATATGCAGTGGTGGAGAGAGAATGCCTCGCTGTAAAATGGGCCATGGAAACATTGCGCTACTACCTGCTCGGGCGCAGATTTGTCCTCGTGACCGACCATGCCCCTCTTCAATGGATGCAGCAGAACAAGGAGAAGAACACAAGGGTGACCAGATGGTTCTTATCCCTCCAACCTTTCCAGTTCCGTGTGCAACACAGAGCAGGGAGCCGCCATGGCAACGCCGATGGCTTGTCACGTGTGCACTGTCTGGCATCCCAAGCTGCCCAACCCCTTGATGTTAAACAGGGGGGAGGGATATGTGACAGACCCAGACCAGTGGGGTACAGGAGTCTGGTAGAGGGCAAATATACTGGTCACTGGATGAGTAGTTTTCTGTTCCCTGAGTGACCAGAGCAGGGGCTGCACTAAAGTAATCAGGAACCTGCTAGAACCAGTTAAGGCAGGCAGGCTAATTAGAACACCTGGAGCCAATTAAGAAGAAGCTGCTAGAATCAATGAAGGCAGGCTAATCAGGGCACCTGGGTTTTTAAAGGAGCTCACTTCAGTTTGTGGCGGGAGAGTGTGAGGAGCTGGGAGCAAGAGGCGCAAGGAGCTGAGAGTGAGAGGGTGTGCTGCTGGAGGACTGAGGAGCACAAGCATTATCAGACACCAGGAGGAAGGTCCTGTGGTGAGAATAAAGAAGGTGTTTGGAGGAGGCCATGGGGAAGTAGCCCAGGGAGTTGTAGCTGTCATGCAGCTGTTACAGGAGGCACTATAGACAGCTGCAGTCCACAGGGCCCTGGGCTGGAACCCGGAGTAGAGGGCGGGCCTGGGTTCCCCCCAAACCTCCCAATTGACCTGGACTGTGGGTTCTTCCAGAGGGGAAGGTCTCTGGGCTGTTCCCCAACCCACATGGTGAATCTCTGAGGCAAGAAAATCCGCCAATAAGCGCAGGACCCACCAAGATAGAGGAGGAACTTTGTCACAATACATAATGTAATGCGATAGCATTCAACAGGTTACAGATAAATGAAGACAACATCATTCCTATTCCGCTGGCCTGTCAGCATTACAATGTTCTTGCTTGATGTATGTACCCAGTGGATATTAATAGCTCCAGTAATATACGCTGGAATTACGACTCAACTGTGTGTAGTTGGGAAATGGGACTATACTAGACATAGGAATGTGCTTTCCCCACCTGTGAGTTACTTCCAAAGTAGTTTGAAAGTCAATGAGAATTTATTTACATATCAAGTAAACAGATCCATCAAGCTAACAAGGGTTGAAAGCAAACTTAATGCTAACAAGTGGGGAAGAAGACGGCATGGAGTCTGTACCCCGCAGGAGAGAGAAGCTTGGTCTGAGTTTTACTTTTCAAGGAATACATTGCAAAGGGTTACTGGTCTGTAAAGAAGGGGACTGTATCTCCAGTGATAAGCAAGTGAATCAACTGGCTGTATACAATTCTACTGTATGATAAAAATGCATAGAGTGAGGTCTTTTTTGAAAGCTAATGACACATTCATGATTAACAGCAATGTGAGATATCTATGTTAATACTGTAGAAGATAATATGGATATTTAATGATATTGTGCTTTAAAGTCTGTGGCCAACCAGGGAGAAACAGGTTCCCTGCCAGACAGGATAGAAGGCAGCTATCTACCTGTCCCATCTGTCAATTAAATATGATAGAAGCAAAACAGTGGAAGCCCCATTTCCATACAGGGAACGGGAAGCCCACAGAAAGGGAAGAATAGCATGAGGTCATCATGCCTCTTGAAACAAAGTCATTGAATCTGGGAACATTCAAGCAAAGATAGAAGTCATTTTTGACATCCATCATTTGACAGACACAACCGAACAGAGCTCTTACAAGCTGAGAAAGATGGGGCCTTCATCCAACGGAGGGCTGCAGTCTCTGAAACTGAATATAGGTGAGAAACCTTCTTAGGCAAGATTAAGCTTTAGACTTTTAGATGCATTTTAACTTTTATTTGCTTGTAACCATTTCTAACTTTATCTCATACTTGAACTCAGTTCAGTTCCTATCTTCCTTTGTTAATGAACTGGTTTTACTATTAATCGAAACCTACAGTGCTGTGTTTGAATTAAAGTGATTGTCCGCTCCAGTTAATGCAGAGGTGGGCAAACTACGGCCTGCGGGCCACATCCGGCCCGCGGGACCCTCCTGCCTGGCCCGTGAGCTCCTGGCCTTGGAGGCTAGCCCATGGCCTCTCCCCTGCTGTTTCCCCCTCCCCCGCAGCCTCAGCTTATTGCGCCGCCAATGCAATGCTTTGGGCGGCGGGGCTGCGAGCTATTCCTATTGGGACCCAGGAAGTGGGCGGATGGAGCCCGCCCACTGCTAAAGGACCTCCCCCCAGCCTAAGGGGAGGATCCACTGGGCCCGGAAACCAAATGATTCCAGGGGACAACTAATGAGAGAACAGGGACGGGATTGAGGTCAAAGGGTCAAACGAAGGGAACCTGACGGAGTGCTCTGTGCTGCGCAGGGGCGTGGCTGGCTCCAGCTGGGCGGCACAGCTGCCTGTTCTGGTGGTCTGGGTAGTGCGGCTGTAGTGCTGCCAGCCACTGGTGTGCCACGCAGCGCAGTAAGGGGGCAGAGAGGGTTGGATAGAGGGCAGGGGAGTTTGGGGTAGTGGTCAGGGGGCGGGGGTGTGGATACGGGTCAGGGCGGTCAGAAGGCGGGGAACAGGGGGTTGAATGAGGCAGGGGTCCAGGGGGGGCAGTCAGGAAGGAGGGGGGGTTGGATGGGGCGGCGGGGGGTAGTCAGGGGCAGGAGTTCCGGGAGCGGTCAGAGAGAAGAGGTGGTTGGATGGGGCAGGGGTCCCAGGGGGGCAGTCAGGAATGAGAGAAGGTGTTGGATGGGGCAGCGGGGGGCAGTCAGGGGTGGGGGGTCCGGAGGTGGTCAGGGGATAGGGAGGGGTGGATGGGACAGGGGTCCCAGAGGGGCCATCAGGGGAAAGGGAACGGGGGGGGGTTGGATGGGGCAGGAGTCCTGGGGGGGGCCATCAGGGGGCAAGAAGCGGGGCGGGGGGCGGATAGGGGTTGGGAGCCGGGCCACACCTGGCTGTTTGGGGAGGCACAGCCTCCCCTAACTGGCCCTCCATACAATTTTGGAAACTTGATGTGGCCCTCAGATCAAAAAGTTTGCCCGCCCCTGAGTTAATGTAGCAAGCTGGTGGGTTTTGTGTGTCTCTGGAGGAACAAATGGCCCTTATAATTTCTCTGAACTGTCCAGGAGAGGGGTGGACTGGGAGTGTGTTTGGGTCACCTTGCTGGTTGTAATGAAGGCTGGTGGAAGCCAGAGAGGGACTGTAGACAGGCTTCTGGGGTCAGAGCTGCTGAACCAGGGCTGTCTAGCACAAGACACACAGGATGAGACCTGCATGCTTGTCGGGTGGCTGTGAGCATCCCAGGCTGTGAGCTACAACAACAAAGCATTGTGAGGCACCCAGGGTTACAGGGCAAGTGGTGGCACAACCCCTGACTGTTCTGGATTGAACCCCACACTCCATTACATTTACACCCACTCATTAAGGCTGAGCCCAGTCCCTGAATCCCAATGTCTCTGCAGTTTAAGGGCTTCCCCTGTGCTCCTGCCTCAATTACCCCAGCAGCACCACCTCAATGTGCACTAGATCCAAGGCAGAAGTGCCATTTCAGGTACTGGTGCCCTAACTAGCAAGGGGCCAAGCAACCAGTAAAAGAGCAGTGAGAGTTTGGTCCAGTAGCCTACCATGGAGAACTCTTGACATATGTGTCCAGTCTCCCTCCTGCCGCTGAGACATTACAACCAATGGAATTATTGCATGCAGATTACCTATAGAGCAGTGGTTCCCAAACTTTAACAACCTGAGAACCCCTTTCACTAAAATGTCAAGTCTCGCGAACCCCCTCCTAAAAATGAATATTTCCAGGGATTTTCTCCTTTACCTGAGTATAAATTATAAAAGCAGTGATCTTGGAAATATAAAATTTGTTTTTATGACATGCTTATTACACACTATTTATTATTAATTATTATTTATAATTACATTATTTTTATTACATTATGAAAACGGCAACACCCTTCCAAGATCTCACTTCTGTAGCTTGTATCACTTTGAATAAGCCTGTTATAAGACAAGGCTCCTATGTTTAATCAAGGAGTATCAGATTTGAAACAGATTTCAACAGGTATTGAAGAAGCCAACTCAAAGAGTTTCTCCTACATATGCATTCAGGTCTTGAGTAGTCCAGGCAAACAACGCACGTTACAACAAAGCTTAAACTTGTTCTTCATAATAATTTTAAAAACAATACTACCTGCCTATTTAATTTTAAAAACAGCAAAAAATATCCACCTCCCTTTCCATTTCTTATAAGGAGTCTTGAAGTTTAAATCTCCTCAGTATGATAGATATGCTTGCTTTGATCTGCTTAGCTCTTGGAAGTCCAGGGGCTCCAGGCTGCTGGCCCCGTGCTGTCCGGGGTCCCTAGGGACAGCTCTGTCCGCCATTAGGGAATTTTTCCCCGAGAACCCCCTGTAACATTTCGTGAACCCCCAGGGGTTCACGAACCCCAGTTTGGGAACCACTGCTATAGAGGAAGGGTGGTGACTGGTTATGTCTCATGTCACAATGGCCCCACTTAAACTTCCTGAGCTATTGCCACCTGTGCCTGTCTGTGGCCTTTATAATTATAACAGCTAGCAGCCTAAGGAATATTTAATGGGACCAAAGATCTCTAACACAACAGCAGACAAAATAATCAGCAGCCATAGTTGAGAGGGAGGAAATTCTCAACACATGAGCGGAAGCGGACGGTTACACTGGATGTGTGGTAAAGTTGCAGGGAGAAAATTAGAAACCAACAGAAATCAGATAATCACATTTTACTTAATCTCCTTTCTCTATGCAGAGAACAAGCATTTAAAAGTAAGCAAAAATTATAGCAAAGAGAGCAACGGCACCAACTATCTTAAACAAATAGGGCATTGAGGTGTGGTGAGTATAATCTTCTACTGCCCTGGTTTTCAAAGGTTTAATGATCCGCTCTCTCTGAGTCAGGATGGCTTTCCTGGCTCCATCCCACTTCCCTGGCCCTCTCAGGCGGTATTGGTACGGCGTGCAGGGGCCAAAGAAAACCTCCATGGCGAGCTTTGGATCCATGAGGAAGAGAGACAGCAGGTTGGGCTTGACTCCTACCAGGCAGGCAAGTTCATCCATGTATTCGACATAATCCACTTGGATAGTGTGGCGCGGGCTTTTCACATACCTGAAACAAGAGAGAGAAGTGCGGGTGCCCTTGTAGCATGATAAAATGGAGACTGCACTGACCAGGAAATGACATTCCTGAGGGGCACCAAATTTGGAGAATTTCCTTCTCTGGAACTAATTCCCACTATAACTGGAATTAAAGGAAAAACTGGGTCACGATTCCATGTGAAGTCGTAACCCATGCCAGGTGGGTATAAGTGTCTTTGTCCCCTTCTAATGGCAGGTCTCCAGAAGAGATTTATAAGACTGCTAATGGAGTTTGCTCAATTGGTAAGATATGTGCTTGTAGCACTGAAAGCCCTGTCTTCAAACTCCACCATCAGTCCCATATAGGTTGGTTTTAAAAGTGGTGCCTAACGTGGGGCTCGAATGCCAGAAGATCTGACAGGCTTAGGAAGAACTTCTCCAGATGGGGGATATCTGTAGAGAGGGTGAGTCCTTGTCTCCTTCTATTTGCTGAAACAGGATTTTTCTCCCCTATTCGCTGCTGGATTCAGCCACGATCTGGGGGATAGGCATGAGGATCATATTGCTTAGTTTTCTACAGCTATAATTTTATTACTTAATCTTTTTCTTTTATGTCATAAAAGAAGGAAAATAGAGATGGGAGAACAATTCCAGATCAAATAAATGTTTCCAGATAAATTTTAACGAAGAGAGCTAAGGCTGGAAATACCAGACTCTTTACAACAAATTGATGACACATCAGAGGTATTTTAGAGAATGATAGAAACTTAAGACATCCTCAGGGAAAAACTCCTTCCAAGCATGCCCAGTAATTATTACTTCACATAAAGGTTCCTACCGTTTTGACATTTCGTCTTTCTTCTGTGTAATATTGGCCATCATGTCGCTCGCTGTGGGCAACCTGATCTGCCCTAGAAGAGAAAAGCCAGAGTATGAGCAGAGATGTGTCTGGCTCCTTCAGCCATTTCCAGAAAGAGCTCTGTGCGTGGGGGGTGGAGGAAGTTGTTGTTTGCTACAGGAAGCACTGCATGCTGGGCTGGGAAGGCCATGATGACTTTGTGTCCCCAAAGTTGCAGAGCTTGGAGCTTCTGGAACCCAGTGGGCAGCCTGATTCTCTGAGGGACGTGGGGGTTAGACAGTCTATCTTCAGGCCTGCTGACAGGGGAGGGGGCAAAGGGGGCAACTGCCCAGGGGCACCAGCAGCACAGCCGGCAGCAGCTCAATGGGCACCAGCCAACACAGGCGCAGCAGAGTCGAAATATCAGGTGGACCGTGTCCGTATGGGCGTGGCTTGTGCATCCATGCACCAGCTGTTGAACATGGTTCAGCTCCTCACCCATGTGGCGACACCATGCTGAGCCTGGGGACCCATTGACTGTTCTGCCCTGGGGCCTGGAATTGGTGTCGGCAGGCCTGTCTATCTTTGTCAGGGAACTGCCTGGCTCTAGAGTTGAGATTCCTTCCCCAGAGCTGCAGTACTTCCTGTGACTCCTCTCCCCCATTTCCTGGGATGACACTTCCATGCTTCCAAAATGGGAGGAGCGAAGGCCCAACCACCTGGTGAGCAGCCATCCTGGAATACTTGGGATTGAAACAGCACTATGGTGGAGACGGATATGGGCTGGCTCATCATCATGGCACTCATACGGGTACTGTCTGCCACCCAACGCCAGCCCAGGGACTGCACAGCTCTGCTGAACTCAGCTAATACCACGTCAATCCAGCAAGGCCCTCTACTAACACAGGCTTAGGGTTTCAGAGAGCTCTATAATCCAGAGACCCCAGGCTATTTCCTGCATTTTGGTTCACGTACCCTTGAACACTTGTGTGGCCAAGCGACTCTGGAGTTCTGCAAGGGGCATGATGGCCCCCAGTGGCTGGATGAGGCCAATGAAAGCCAGAGTTGGCTTCTCCAGGTGAGGAGGGAAGATGAATTTATATAGGGAGACCTGGTTTTCGACCACTTTGACACAATCCTGGAGGAAGGGGAAAGAGAAGCTGTATCCTGTAGCGAAGAAAACTGCATCAATGTTCTCCTCTCTGGTGCCGTCTTCGAAGATGGCGCCGGTTTCAGTGAACTCCCTGATGTTCGGTTTCACCAGCACTTTGCCAGAGATGATGCGGTTTGGCAGGTCATCGTTGATGGTTGGGTGCTGGCTCATAATCCTGCATGGCAAAGAGAAGGTGTGTCAAGATCTGTCTGGACAAATGGCATACTCTGAAAGTGGGGGAGGATCAGTGTGATGGTCAGGTCTCCGCTCCTCTGTTACTAGAATTTGGCCTGGGCAGCACAGCCATGTTACTAGCAGCATGAGTGCAAAAAGCTGTTTGAAGGTGCTTGGTGTCCGTTATGGCTCCAGTAGCGTAACGGGCCCTTAAAGGGGGCAGAAACAGCCCCCTGAGATTATCCTCAGGCAGGAGGCACCGCATTATGGCCATTCTTCCCAATGGTCACAGGAAGGAGGGCGTGAGCTCTGAGGGTGCTCTAACTTACACTGACAGCTGGGTTGGGCCCTGCATGGTGGCAGAACACAGGAAACACAAAATCACCCTTCCACCCCTACCCCAAATGCAGTGATGGTAGAAGGGAAAAGTCAGGACCTAGGTGTTTTATATGTAACTCCTTCGATTTGCCATTCTACCCCAGCAGGCTGAGGGGAATATCCCGTGTGTTTGAAAGCACCTGTGCTGAGGCCTTAGACCGTAGTGTGCGTGGTTGAATCTTGCATTTGCTCTGTTCTCCGCCCATTGGTTAACCATGGATGTAGTCAACATCCTCTTGAAAAAGGCTTTAAACCTGGTGGAGAGCACTATGTCCACAGGGTACCCTTGCTCCGCAACACGATTCAGCACCCACGCCCCACGCCTGGTGCTGAGGAAGACCTAGATAGTGGAGAAAGACAGCTCTCTTGGACATTGACACATACTGTACTGCATCACACCACTTGGCACTTTGTGGCACTGGCAGGGATTGTTACTGTCATGAATTATTATCTGTGAGAGGGTGAGTAATACAGGCCTCAGGTGAGATCAAAGCTCCAGTGTGCTGGACACTTGTACAGCCACATTGTGAGGGACGTTCCTGCCCCAAAGAGCTGACAGTCTCAATCTTCATCCCTGCACACTTGGCCCTGTTTCCCACTGGCATCCCCTCCATGCACATCTCCACTGACACCCCCTGCCTCTGACTCCCAGCTGTAGACTCACTGGAGGTTTTGGGGATCTCAGAGAGAAGCCTGGCTGGGACTGTGAGGAACCTCACTGAGCTGTGACCTTGGTCCCTGGTTGTGTAACAGAGCAGGGCTGCACATAGCAGGGTACAGCCAGTGCTCGGGGCTGACACCGCACTGCTATCTGTGGGCTCTGTGGTGTCACTGCCTATGCTGCACCATTGCTGAGAGCCCTGCTGTCAGGCTCTGGCTGGACATCTGCCACGCACCCAGAGCAGGGAGTGGCCATCCTTAGTCCACAGCTGTGTGCAACCCCAGTGAATGGCACTGTGGGATCACAAAGAGGGCAGGCCTCAGCCTGGGACAGCTTTGGAAACGACTGGCAGATGCTTCCATGTCAGTACCCTTAACCCAGACATCACTGCACATACCTATAGGGGGCGACATGTCTCATTACAGGGACCTTCCCTGACCCTCCACCTCTGCTGTGCATCCTGTCACTGCTAGACACACCGATCCTCTGGGATGCCCTGGGGAACGCTGGGCCGCCAGTGGGGACATGGCTGGGCCGGCTATGAAATGGCTCTGGGTACTGGAGACCCTGTTCTCCTTGTTAAACCTTGCCACCTTTTCTTTCCTCTGCCCATAGTTCTGTTTCCTTCCTCTGCATTTATTTCCCCTGCAGCCCAAACCCTCTTGTATTGAAGCAACTGCTCCATTCTCCAAACTTTGGAGGCTCCTGACATCTTTCAACACAATACCGAGCTCTTCCCTGGCACCGTCTGATTTCCTGCCACCTCTGGGCTCCTGCACAGCAGGTAGGGATGCTGTTGCAGGCGCCTCCCCATGACTCTATTCAAGGTTCAGGTAGGCAGGGGCAGATGGGCTAATGAGGAAGTGGGACATGCTACTCTGAGGGCACAGCATTGTGGGTAACCTGCTGGTTAGTGCACGTTGTGTCCCACCCTGTACCCAATCTACAGCGGCTAGGACTCTGCTACAGTCCCTAGCTATAGCACTGGTCTCTCTAGCTCCTGGTGGAGTGTAGATCTAGAAGGGCCTAGTTCCATCCCTGCTCTAGGCCAAGACAGCAGCTGCCATACAAGTAACAGCTGTAGGCAATTCCCTATGTCCATTACATCCACTCGGTAAGAGCAGATTGCCCATGATGACGCTTTGATACTAACTCTGATGAACCATATAAACTTTCATATCTCCTCTCTGCACTTAGGGGCTGCTTCAAATGGGAGTCTTTCCATTAACTTCAGCAGAGGCCCTTAGTTTGGGCATTTCTGGGGTTTGTGGTGTGGTGTATTGGTCGGTGCTGCTGCCTTTAGCCCAGTGAGGTGGGGGGGTGCTGCACTGTGCCATGAACGAGAGAGCCGTCCCTCCTGAACCAAACCTGATCAGCTTCATGGCTGAGCTCCACGGCCAGGTCCCCTCCCGAATTGCCAATGCCGATCACAATGACTCTCTTCCCCGAGAACTCCTGAGGGTTCTTGTAATCCCGGCTGTGGGCGTAGCGGCCTTTGAACTTTTCAATCCCTGCCAGGAGAGAGCAGAGCAGCTCAGGCTCTGGGTGCTAGGGGTGAGCTAGCGTGTTTGACCTGTGTCTTTGCCAACTTGAACATTGTGGTTCTGGAGCTCAACACAAACAGTGAGGGGGATATCCTCTGTTTAGGGGAGACAGTGTGGGTGGGGACCAGAGTGACATTCTGGGCTGCACCTCTAAGAGGTGCACCATAGACCTATCAGCCCAGAGGAAGAGTCGAGCGAAGATAGGTTGAAGCCACTCTTCCACCTTCCTGACCCTGAACTGCTCTGGGAGGCTGGAGATGCCCCCAATCTATCTAAGTTATGGCAGTTCCCCAAGTTCTTCTATTAGCCACAGTGCTGATTGCTACATCTCCACCCTGAGGATAAACCCACTGTCAGCCTGTCCCCTGGTACGCCCCCCCCAAGCCAGGGATTGTACAGGCCTCCTGGTTGGAGGCAGCCATATAGCCATCTTCTGCAGCGCTTGCACCAGGGGAACTGTGCCCCAGCTGGAACTGGGCCTTTCGGAGCTCTCTACACTGCTCTGGCCATGTACCCGGTGTAAAGGAGCTGGTGTGTGGGTTGGAGCCTTGCCTCAGAGTAATAAGGGAGTGAGAGGCTGTGGGGATATGGAGCAAAGAAGGGAAGGGGTAAAACGAATACAAGAGACTCTGCTGTAGCAGCTAAGCTTTCAGGGGGGTCTTCCCTGCTGCCCCAGCATAGATTCATAGACTTTAAGGCCAGAAGGGATCATGATGGCATATTATCTGACCTCCTGCACACTGAAGGCCACAGAACCGCTCCTGTAATAGACCCATAACCTCTGGCTGAGTTACTGAAGTCCTCAAATCATGATTTAAAGGCTTAAGTTACACAGAATCCACCATTTACACTAGTTTAAAACCTGCAAATGGCACATGGCCCGTGCTGCACAGGAAGGTGAAAAACTGCCAGGGTCTCTGCCAATCTGATCTGTGGGGAAATTACTTTCCAACCCCAAATATGGTGATCAGTTAAACCCTGAGCATATGGGCAAGACCTACCAGCTAGACAAATGGGAAAGAACAACTCTATCAGTAACTCCTCCCATCTAGTGTCCCATCACCAGCCACTGGAGATGTTTGCTGCTAGCAGTTGTGTATCAGCTATATTCCATTGTAGGCAGTCTCATCATACCATCTCCTCCATAAACTTATCAAGCACCATCCTGAGGCCAGTTAGGTTTTTTGCCCCCACTGCTCCCCTTGGTAGGCTCTTCCAGAAGTTCACTCCTCTGAGGGTTACAAACCTTTGTCTAATTTCAAGCCTAAACTTGCTGATGGCCAGTTTATATGCATTTGTTCTTGTGTCCACACGATACTTAACTTAAATAACTCCTCTTCTCCCGCTCTAGTATTTATCCCTCTGATGTATTTATAGAAAGCAATTGTATGTCCCCTCAGCCTTCTTTTGGTTAAGCCAAAAAAGCCAAGCTTTCTCTCATAAGATTCCTCTGATCATCCTAGTAGCCCTTCTCTGCACCGGTTCCAGTTTGAATACATTTTCCTTAAAGACTGGAGACCAGAACTGCACACAGTATTCCAGATGAGGTCTCACCAGTGCCTTGTATAATGGCACTAACATTCCCCTGTCTCTACTGGAAATATCTTGCATACATCCTAGGACTGCATTAGCCTTTTTCACAACCACATTACATTGGCAGCTTAGGCATCCCATGATCAACCAATATTAGATCTTTCTCCTCCTCCTGTCTCTTCGAACTGATAGCAAAAATTCTTGTTGTTAGTCCCTAAGTGCATGACCTTGCACTTTGCAGTATTAAATTTCACACAGCACAGGTTGGCCTGTGGCTGTAACACCAGAGGTTCTGAATAGCTGGAGTGGCAGATGGGAAGGAGCACGGGGTCACCAATACAAAAGTTTGAGAACCACTGCCATAGCGCTATGTGACTGCTCTATCTGCTCTTCTCCCCCCACTGGCATGTTCCTGAGTGGCTCTCTGTATCTGCTGTGCTGCCTGTGGCATTGGAAGCTACGTAACCATTTGGGCTTTGAGTCCTCTGAATTGCACCTTTCAGTGTCTCAGGGGGCTGTCGGGCTGCCATCTGGTGCAGATCCTTTGCTGCTGTCATGCACTGGCATACTCCTGAAATGGGAGAAGCGCCAGGCGGTGGCTGACACGCTTGGCAGCAGTTCCGTGGTTACAGTAACTGGAATAGTTGAGTGGATAATCATAGAACCCTAGGGTTCCAGAGCCGGAAGGGACTGCTAGGGGCCCATGAGTCCAGCCCAGGACTAATGTGTGTCCCAGGACCAGCCCAGGAGCACGTGCTCATTGCTTTCCCTCTGCTTATCCCTTTGGAAAGTCACTGCTCTGCTAAGGCCCTTTCCCTTCCACTCTGCGACGTACCTGGGAAGGAGTCCAGTGGCAGATGGGCGTTGGTGTGATGGCCACTGCACACCATGATCCCATCGAAGACGGCCGACTCCTGCTTCCCCTCGGACTCCGTGACAACATCCCATTGGCCCGTGGAGGAGAAATCCGGGCGCTTTGTCACACTGACCACAGTGGTCTGGTAGGAAAAGGGCACTCACAGAGCTGGCACCAGGAAATTTCATCCTTGACACTAACCTCCTCCCCGTGCTTGAGTCAGCAACCCAGCCAAGAAGCACAAGGCCAGCGCACAGCTGGGACCAGCAGCAGGAGGCCAGTTGGGCTCTGCTGGGTTTTGCCTCATGGCCTCTGCGGATTCACTGGCTCCCACAGGGAATGGAGCTGCAGCAGCTCCTGGGACCTGGGCTGTAACTTCGGCCAGGCAGCCCCCAGACAAAAGGAGGTCCCAGAACAGCCCCTCCAGCTCTCCCTGTTCCATGAGTATGAGATGTTTCCTCATTGGGGGGGATTCTTTCATCCAGGTCTTGCACACCTGTGCGTTCACGTGCACACTCACACACTAACAAACACATACACAGTCCTACCCCTGCTCGCTGGGCCAGCTCTCCTCACCTTGAAGCGAATGTATTTCAGAAGGTCGAAGTGGTCGGCATACATGCGGAAATACTTCATGATTTTGGAGTGGTGCATGTAGTTGGGGAAATCATCCGGGATGGGGAAGTCACTGAAGCACATCATCTCCTTGGAGGTGTTGATGATGACAGATTTGTAGATGCTGGCTCTGCCCTCTTCGGGATTCTCCTGCAGGAGCAACAGAACATGGACATTACTTTTGAATATTGACTCTGGAAAGTAAAGCTGTAGCGATGAAGGCGGCATGAAGCCACAGGTGGTGTGATCTCCCCTAATATGTGATCTCCCCAGATGTTGCCGTGGCAGCCTCCCTGCTCTGCATAAATACACCTTGAGCATCCTATATATTTTCCTTCAACCTGCCAACACACATGACACACCTTTTCCTTTACCCCATCCCCATCGCATGCACAGCCTCAGCCCCCATCACCCCATTCTCACCTCTTGGTCACACACAAACACCCTCCATGCCCTATGTTGACACCACACCCTCTGGACCGCTTCTTCTGCTGGCATTTGCCAGGATGTCCCTGTCTCCCCGTGATGGTGCGAATGATCCACACCGAGGGTGTGGCAGGGAGAGAGATTTGCAGTCGACGCACGCAGACAGGCAGCCCTACGATGGCCTGGTGAGGGTGAGCCACACAGCAGAAGTTCACTGGGGCAGAGGAAGCTGGAGAGGAAGCCTGTCACTGCTGTGGACTCCCACCTGCTTGTGCCCTATTGGACATCAATCAATGTTTTGCCACTGAATTCAGTGGGAGCAGGACGGGCCCTCTGTCTGAAGGGAGCCTGCGGATTCTGGCAGCAGTGCTGTGAGAGAAACCTTCACTCGCCTGTGAAAGGAACGTTGTCCCATTTCCGGATAAGTCTGGTTTGTTCTTCTCCAACCTAAAGGATTTGCTATGAGCTGAAGCCCCTCTGCGCTGGCCCTTCCCCTCCAGCCTCCTAGCAACCCGATCATCAGAAGCAAGGGCCTGATCCAGAGCCCATTGAAATCAATGGGAGTCTTTCCACTGACTTCAATGTGCCTTGGATCAGGCCCTAAACCCGAGCCATAATAGCACTCTGGGTGAGGTGACTGCATCCTCCAGATGGGTGGAAAAGACCCTCGCCAGCAACTATGTCACCCTGCAGCCTCCTCTGGACAAGCACCTTGTTAATACCTGCACACACCCAGGGTACTCTGTATAGAATATCATTCCAGGATTGTCACTGTGAACCCTAGAATGTCTGCTGGGTCAGTGTGAAGTGATGGGAACAGCTACAAGCATGGCGGAGAGCTCTTCGTGCTCACACTATCACCAGGTTCAGACATCACTGCGACTGACAGTCTGTTACCGTCCTGCTTTTAAATTTCTCAGCCATTTTTGGCTTTTTTACACACAGGGGGACTTTAGGAATTACACCTGTGTGACAGTATGGGCTTTCATCTGGTAGAAATAATAATACGATTTGATACTTAGATTGCAGTCTCTTTGGAGCAGGGACTGTATTTTTGTTCTGAATTTGTACAGCACCTGACACAAGAGGGTCCTGATGCTTGACAGTGACTGCTTGGTGCTGTTGCAATACAAATAATAAATAATAGCCAGAATTAAGAAAAGCACCCAAACTCACGATGAACTCAAACCTACCTTGAACCTCCAGAGCCCCCCAATATCTTCACTTCTCTCGAAGCAAGTGGGCTCCAGCCCATCATCCAAACAGCATTTAATGGTGCACAGTCCACTGGATCCACCGCCGATGACTGCAATCCTCTTCTTGGCCATGGCCATCTGTCTCAGGAGGAGGTGCCGAGAGTTGTAGAGGGATTCTGGGAAGGGAAAATGTACCTCTTCTTTTCACATCACTTGCAGATTTACCTCAGGAAGAATCCCTACAACTTCTGCATGAGCCAAGCAGTCCAGCAAAGGAATCCCTCCCAGAAACAGCTTTGTTCTTTGTATTCTCTAACCCCTAGGCACTGGATCAGCCAAAGATACTAAACCGCAGTAAGCGCTTGTCTCCATGGGGAAGTTATTCTGGAATAAGGTTGGGGTGAATATAAAGGGCTATAGCTATTCCGCAGTAACTCTCTGCGTGGACAATTGTATCTCGGAATAAGTGTGTCCCCATGGGGAGTCATTCCGGAAGAGTTATAGTGGGATAGTTATTCCCGGACACCTATTCTGGTCAGTTTTCCTGTGCAGACAATCCTAAGGCTCTTTGATCTGGAATGGTCATGGCAGATTGTAAACTGTTCCTAACAGGGACTGTCTCTTCTTTTATGTTTGTACAGCACAAACATAGCACAGTGGGGTGAAGGGGGGGGATGTCCTGATCGTGTCTAGGTGCTATTGCACAGGTCTAAGAACAAAGTAACCTAAACTTCATCCCCTTGTGCAAATGGACACTCAGTTTATTAGGAGAACTGCCCTTGGCAAAATATGTCACAGGTTGGTGTCTATGGTTTTCAATGCAAGATGGCAACAAATGAAAGCTAACACAGAGCCATGTAACAGAAAATAGAGTATCTCTTTATGCAGCTCTTTTAAATCCTAACTAATGCAAGTCTCCATGCAAAATGTCCAGTCCTCTTTGGAATCTTGCTACAGAAAGATTAAAACAGCTAAATGTGGATTAAGTAAGGCCGGGGTGAGGAATATGATAATACAAGATTAAGCACAAAGGGGACATCTATATTGCAGTCATGGGGTGTGATTGCAGATAGGGTTTTACCCAGGCTTCCAGGCAGGCTTTGTCACGGTTTCACTGCTCCGGTACCTAAGCTAGCTAGATTAAAGCTAGCTCTAATATGTCTGCACATGCTGCAGTCACCCCTGATTGCAGTAGACACATACACTGTGATGGAGAAGATTTATTTAGTGGAATCCAAGTGGGTGAAATGGGCAGAAACTGAGGAAAAGACAAATAAGGTTAAATATAAGCTTTCTGGCAGTGAGGACTACAAAACCACAGAGCAGGGGAAACAATAGAAGTCCCATTTAAAACTGGGCTGGAGAATGCAATTAAAAAAACCACCATAGGGAAAAAAATCTGACTCTGGTCAGGACTGAGAGGAGAGCATGGGAGTCTGGGCAAGCTGACCTCCTGGGTCTTATTTCTGTCATTCTAAAGGAAGATTATTGTGCAGGAAAAGGCTGCTGATCAGTGCTCACTCTGAACAGAACGAGTGCCAGTGACAGAGACAACATAGACACATTTGGCAGGATACACCTTGCCATAAATCTCCCACTGGCTTCAACCTAGCACCAAGAAGGACAGCAGAAACCATGGTAGGTGCATCTTCTCCGTGCCTAAGGCAGGATTCCACAGGCAATGTTGGGTGTGGGCTGGGGACAGGCAGTGGGGTCCATAACTGTGCAGGATGCAATGATCGTGACACCTTGTTTAATTGGCCTCTCTCCTCCCGTCCAAGGCAGGATTTGTTTAGAAAGCTCATCTTGCCCGAGTAAGACGGATGGCAGGGTCCGGTCCCAAAGCTGTCTCCTGGTGTGCAAACAAGGGCTAATGTCACCTCTGACAGGCAAGAGGCAAGGGCCTAGATTTTCAGAGGAGACCAGTGATTTGGGAGGATGAGCTGGAGTCACCTTAAAACTGGCTGGGTAACCGTACTCAGAGAGTTGTTATTAATGGTTCCCAATCCTGCTGGAAAGGTATAACAAGTGGGGTTCCGCAGGGGTCTGTTCTGGGACCGGCTCTGTTCAATATCTTCATTAACGACTTAGATATTGGCATAGAAAGTACGCTTATTAAGCTTGCAGATGATACCAAACTGGGAGGGATTGCAACTGCTTTGGAGGATAGGGTCATAATTCAAAATGATCTGGACAAATTGGAGAAATGGTCTGAGGTAAACAGGATGAAGTTTAACAAAGACAAATGCAAAGTGCTCCACTTAGGAAGGAACAATCAGTTTCACACATACAGAATGGGAAGAGACTGTCTAGGAAGGAGTACGGCAGAAAGGGATCTAGGGGTTATAGTGGACCACAAGCGAAGTATGAGTCAAAAGTGTGATGCTGTTGCAAAAAAAGCAAACATGATTCTGGGATGTATTAACAGGTGTGTTGTGAGCAAGACACGAGAAGTCATTCTTCTGCTCTACTCTGCGCTGGTTAGGCCTCAACTGGAGTATTGTGTCCAGTTCTGGGCACTGCATTTCAAGAAAGATGTGGAGAAATTGGAGAGGGTCCAGAGAAGAGCAACAAGAATGATTAAAGGTCTTGAGAACATGACCTATGAAGGAAGGCTGAAAGAACTGGGTTTGTTTAGTTTGGAAAAGAGAAGACAGAGGGGACATGATAGCAGTTTTCAGGTATCTAAAAGGGTGTCATAAGGAGGAGGTAGAAAACGTGTTCACCTTAGCCTCTAAGGATAGAACAAGAAGCAATGGGCTTAAACTGCAGCAAGGGAGGTTTAGGTTAGACATTAGGAAAAAGTTCCTAATGGTTAAACACTGGAATAAATTGCCTAGGGAGGTTGTGGAATCTCCATCTCTGGAGATATTTAAGAGTAGGTTAGATAAATGTCTATCAGGGATGGTCTAGACAGTATTTGGTCCTGCCATGAGAGCAGGCGACTGGACTTGATGACCTCTCGAGGTCCCTTCCAGTCCTAGAATCTATGAATCTATGAATCTAAAAGGACATGATGTTGAGAGAGTGTTGTGCACCCACCCTCTGAAATCCAGCCCCTTTAAGGTGTCTCTAGTCAGGCTCCCCAAATGAATAGTCACTTCTAAAACTCTTGGCCATACTGTAAAGCCCCCACTATCCCAACAGACATTGAAGACCCACAAATGCTAGGATTCTACAATCCCTCTGCGCAGTTCCTCAAAACTCCCGGCCAAACCCATAATCCGACACTTCTGTGCTATTCCACACGACACTGCACCTACTACAGAAACAGCACCTAGGTAAGTCAGTCCAGCACAGACACTACCATGTACCTGCTCTCCCGAGTAGCTGCTGGGTCAGCAGTGCTGCCAGAGTCCACGCAGTCAATTTCTGCCTTCTATCCTTTGTTCCGGAGCTGTACTCTTGCTACTGTATAAGTAACACATTAACTTGGCATCTGTTAATTGCTAACCCAGATTTACCTCCATGAGTTAAAAAATAATTTCCTATCTTGCAAACACCAGACACTTGTCAGACTAAATCACATGTTTCACTAACTCATGGTAAATGAACATAGGTGTCGGATGATTTTACTCAGAGCAAACTATGGGGGCATTTGGGGAAGGAGATGCTAGACATTTAGTGAGTCAGCTGTGGGGTGCTGCTTGTGGTGTACGGACAGTGTGGCAGTGGCAAGGGTGTGCCTCTGCGTGGAGGAGCAGAAGGTGTGTAGTGACGCATGGATTCATTTTTCATTCCCGTGCATGTACTGTTATGCTGGAAGGTGCAATGACTACCATCAATCACAGACCTGGTTAAAGAACAGGTGTCCTTGTACCAATATGCACTGGCATATGAGTCAAAGTTTCTCCCCAAGCATTTGTGCTAATCAAACCTGGTTGCACAAATATTCATGGAAAAATGAACAACAAACCATGCAAACAGGAATCAAACCAGGAGTCAGAGTTCCCCACGGTGTTTACAGATAACTTCCCCTGTTCACCCAGCTCCAGTGCTCAACCCTCTTGTACCCCCCTTCCTTTACAGACAGATGCTGCAGGGGCTTCCTCCTGGTGAGATCCTTGTCCATCTCAGTGTGCAAGTGCTTTGGGTCTTCAGATAAAGCTTCCACCCAGCTCTAGTGATGAGGTCAGAAATAGTGATGTCGAGATCACTGCTTCCTCTGGTGGGAGGGAATGAAGGAAATCTCTGCCCTTCTCATGCACGTGGTATGACCTAGAAGGAAACACCTCCCTTCTCCCCCTAGTAGGGATACAACAGCAGCTGCAGAGACCTGCTGGCTCCACACAACAGTGAAAAAATCCCTATCAAACCCAAATACTTCAGTGCACAGACAGTTACCCCCGGTGAGAGAGAGAACGAACCCACATGTTAGTCACGTCACTTAATGCACGCTGGGACAGTGCTCAGACACTATGGTGGTATAGGAACCTATAGCGAACAGAATGGAGTTTTTGGGAGCAGGACTCTTCCTGTCGGGTTGCCAGAGCCTCTGTGTTTTTGGTTCATCATAGAGGTTCATTTGTCTTTCATTCAAATGCATCGTCTTGGATAACGAGTTCCTCTAAAGACTTGCCTCCCCTCAGTAACATTTTCAAGAGTGCCTTAGTGACTTTAGGAGCCCAAGTCCCATTTACCAAGAGTTATCTAGTCATCTAGGGGCCCAAATCTCACTGCAAGTCAATCTCGCTGCACATCCCATGTGCCTCATCACTTGAGAACAAGACTTAGGCTCCTAAAGCACTTGAGTGCTTTGGAAAATGTTGCCTCCTGCATACACCGCTCTACCACTCGCTCCCAGACAACCAAATGCATGGGAAGCATCAGCACCTGTATGAACAGCAGCTGACTGAAGCTAATCCCAGTCAAGATTGAGGTGAAGTTGGAGGGGACAGTGAACTTCTAGAACTTCCAGTCCCCAGGACAATGCTCTCTGTGAAGGGTGTCTGCCTTCAGCTTATCAAATTGGTCTGCAACGTTGGGGTCCCCCTGGACTCTGCTGCCAGTCACACAAACAGCTACAGCTTGGGAAAGGCTGGCCTGGCCAGGCGATATCATCTCTTCCTCTGGGACTTGGCCCTGGGGATTTACAGAGTTTTGAGCTCCTCGTTTAATTATTGCAATGCAGCATCCCAAGGAATGAAACTGCTCCAAATGCAGCAGCCCACTTAGTTAGCAGCCCAGGCTGCTGAGATTGCATGACCCCAATGCTTCATTCACTGTGCAGGGTTCCGGTTGAATACTGAGTCCAGTTTGAGGCTGCTGCCCTGATGTTCAACGCCCTCCATGAAAGTGGCCCAAGCTACATAAGGGCCTAGCTCAGTCTCCATGACTGCTACATTTCACTGTCCATTGCCACCCACATGGGTGAGACCAAGGAGTATTGGAGACAGAGCTGTAACTAGCTATTTTTGCGCCCAAGGCAAGAATATAAAATTGCACCCCCCCAGCGCTGCTGAGCCCCCCCCAAAACACACACACACACACACACCCAGTGCCGCCCACCCCGCGGAAACAAACCCATCTTCCACTATCCTTGCCTTCCCAAACTGCTGACTAGATAAAGCCATCAGCTCACAAGGCTGCCTAGGCTCATCCAGACTTTCCTTACCAGGCACATTGCCACTCCCAGCAGATAAACTGCTGCTCTTCTCACTACACTGAGCTACTTCCAGCAAATCACAGTTACCCTTTTCAGATTCACTTTTACAAGCTGTACTAGCTAACAATCCATCACCCATGCAAAATCTACTCTTTCCTTCCTCAGTTAGGGCTTTCACCTGACCATCCACTTTAATCTGCTCCTGAGAAACATTTTCCTGACCAATGAGCTCTTTCTGATCTTGATCTATCTCCAGATTTACTTCTGAGACATTAGACAGACATTCAGAAACTTCATTTACAAACAGCTCTTCTCCTCAGACAATCCTTTGGAGAAACCCTCCCCAGGAAAATCATTGCCCACGATAGACACAGGTTTAAGATCATTCCTGTCCTGTGACTGGCTACCTGGACTGAACAAAGCTTTAACATTTTCCCCAATCAAAAGATCCTTAGGCAATAACTTCCTTATAACTATAACTTCATGCTGAGTACCATTCCATTCAAGGTGGATTCTGGCCAAAGGCACACTTACAGTAAACTCATAGAGGACTACAACATTCACACTCTGATTTGGTAAGTAATCTTCCTTTTTGACAAGAACTGCTTTAACAAGAGTGATGTTAGAAGCCATAATTTGCCCTAAACAGCTTTTACCATTGACTTTTACACTCTCTATGAATTTTTCATTACCACTCCCATACATAGCATTGGCACAAGTTATGGAGCTACCCTCTACTGAACACACAGTAACAGCATTTACATAAAAGGTGGCAGTGTTGGGGTACATTTGGTTACACCCAGACAACTGCTCAGAGTTATACAACATACCAACATTGTTATAAACTGGTCTTTCAAGAGGATACAGTTTCTGCTGTTCTTCCCTTGCTTTTTTGACTTGGAGCTAAAGTCTTTCCACTTTTGCCTCCTGCCTTCTGATTACTGGCCATTAACAGATCTCTCAGTTCTTGATTTGTAGCTTTCTTTCTAAACCTTATCCCCTTTTCTGAACACAAATCTTTCAGGGCTTTTTTGTCAAGGTCCTCATATGCTCTTTGCTCATCCATTGCAACTGCTCTTTAACCAACCAAACTCTCAATCCCAAAATTCAAATTTGGATAGCGTGGGGTTCTGACCCAAAGCTTAACTGACCCAGTTCTGTGGATCCTAGCACGACTACGCCACTGTAACGATGTTGGTTCTGGCGGGACCCAACTGAGAGTATCAGTTCAGGACAAATTGCTTAAAACAGGGCAGTTACAGCCCAAGGCTGGGGTTTTTCCACCTCTAAGGCAAACCAAACCAGTCAGACAAAGAGGACTTTGGTCTCACCCCACTGGCTAACCACAAGTCACACAATCAATTCCCTTAGACACGCCAGTTTCCCAGTATCACCACCAGTGCCACTCGTTATGGGGATGAATGGTTATGAAAACCAATACCCCAGTAAAAGATAAAGGGTTCTCCCAATCCCAAAGGACCAAGCCCCAGACCTGGGCCAATATACAAACCAGATCTTACCCACAAATCACGCCATTGCCAATCCTTTAGAATCTAAAATCTAAAGGTTTATTCATAAAAGAAAAAAAATATAGATGAGAGCTAGAATTGGTTAAATGGAATCAATTACATACAGTAATGGCAAAGTTCTTGGTTCAGGCTTGTAGCAGTGATAGAATAAACTGCAGGTTTAAATCAAGTCTCTGGAGTACATCCACAGCTGGGATGGGTCATTCAGTCCTTTGTTCAGAGCTTCAGTTTGTAGCAAAGTCCCTCCAGAGGTAAGAAGCAGGATTGAAAACAAGATGGAGATGAGGCATCAGCCTTTTATAGTCTTTCCCAGGTGTAAGAACACCTCTTTGTTCTCACTGTGAAATATTACAGCAAAATGGAGTCTGGAGTCACATGGGCAAGTCTCTGCATACTTTGCTGAGTTACAAGGCGTATCTGCCTTCTCTCAATGGGTCAATTGTATATCTGATGGTCCTTAATAGGCCATCAAGCAGGCTAGGCAGAGCTAACACCAACTTGTCTGGGATGTCACCCAGAAGCATAGCATAAGTTTGAAATACAGACAGTATAAAGCCAACCTTCATAACTTTGCTACAAAAATGATACACACATAAAGAGAGCATAATCATAACCAGCAAACCATAACCTTGTCTTAGACACCTCATTTGACCCCCTTTATACAAGATTTGGTGCCACTACAGGACTTTGGTTGCACCCATGTTCTATACGGTCCCAGATTATGTCAATAACGTCACAGCCGAAAAGGAAGGTTTTTGGGGGGGGGGAGAAACAGCATGCATAGGGTGACCAGATCACAGCAGTAAAATAGTACCCACCCCCTCCCCGCTCGGCCCCACCATCACACCCCTCTTCATCCCCCAGCCTCCTGCTGGCTTGCTGCATCCCTCCTAGTCAGTCCCCCACCCACCACTCTCCTCCTTTCACCTTCTCCCTCCCCTGCCAGAAACCCCCATGCCCGCCCCTAGAACCCCTGCTGGCTCACTGCTCGCCTCTTTGCCCACCCGCTCGCCCCCAACTCGCCGCTCGCCCTCCCCAAGTATAAAGCCTCATTCAAAGACCCAGGGGGTCACTATATTAATGCACACACCAGTCAATCAATGCAGTACCAAAAATTAAAATACTGAAAATGGATGCCTCCCTCCATCCACCGACTCGCCTCCTCACCCCCCATCCAAGTATCAGGGGCAGCAGGTTTGTAGAAATTTTGGTGGTGCCCAGAACACTCAGAGCCCGCCCCCCCCAACTCTGCC